GGCTAGGGGAGAGGGGGGAGAAGAATCAAAGGCCAGGGGAAGAGAATATTCGAAGGCAGAGGGGCTGGGGCGGGGCGTGCTTGTGACAGGGCACAGGCCTACGCAAAGCCCAGCCGCCGCCACATCTGTTGAATTCCTGGCTGCAAGCAGTCCCGGACATTGCAATCGGCTCCGGACGAAGACGCTTGACCCTGAAACGCTAAAAGATGGATGTGAAGAGGCAGTACTCACCATGGCATCGTCCAGCGGTGCGTCCCGCTGCTTCATATGACCGTCCAACTTCCGATCCGGCCCTGCTGGCGCCGGCGCCCCGCCGCGCTGCGGCCCCTCCATCGACTGCCCGCCCGGCGCTCCGCCCGGTTCGCCGGCCGCCCGCGCGCGCTCGTCCGCCCCGGCCCCGCCGCCGCCGCCGCCGCCCTCGGACGGCTGGGTGGGCCGGCCGTCCAGTATGCACGTGTTGTGTGCGCCAACCAGTAGCGACGCCATGAACACGTTGATGCAGCTCCACCGCACGAACGACAGCCAGTGGACCGCGTGCCGCGCGGCGGGCGCGCCGCAGGGCGCGGGGCCGGGGGCGAGCGCGATGGCGTTGGCTGCCAGGAAGCAGCAGGTGCCGATAAAGGTGGCGGCCAACTGCAGCGCGTGGCGGGCGACGACCTGGGAGCGGTGTTTTTGAGGGTTCCAAAAGGCGCTTGCGATTGGGGGTGCGGGGTGTGGGTGAACCCTAACCCAAAACCCTCATTTACTTTGCACTCGAGTGGATTGGGTGCAGCTGGTAATAGTATTTCCAAAGGCTGAAAGACTGCCTCCGACGTGCGTGCATGAGTATGAGATGATGACATGTCGGCATCTGCCTTGTCTGCGCAGCAACGGCATTGTTGTGTAAGCGCGCCCGCGCCCTCGCGCGCCCACCGTCCGGCGCCGCGCTGTCCAAACCAGCCGCGCGCACAGCGACAGCAGCACCTGCCGCGCGGCCGCCGCCGCGACGAGCAGCGCGGCGGCCGCGGTCAGCGCGCCGAATGCGGCGTTGACTGCGTTGGAGCTCTCGCTGCAGAAGTACTGGGCGCCATCCTCTAGCGGGGGTGTTGAGAATATTGTGTGTGTATATATGTGTGTGTGCGAGTGGGTGTCCGTATGTGTGTGAGCGTGCGTGCGCTCGCGCTCGCGCTCGCGCTCCCGCACGTGTGCGTGTGCGTGTGCGTGTGCGTGTGCGTGTGCGTGTGCGTGTGCGTGTGCGTGTGCGTGTGCGTGTGCGTGTGCGCGCGCGCATGCGTGCTTGCGTGCGTGTGGGGGGGAACAGGGGAGGAGCGCAAGAGGGGCGTGTGAGGCTTCGACTGGGGTTTGCCAGGGGCGCCAGACCGGCAGCAAAGACCGGCTGCTGGCAAGACGCATGTGAGGAACAGCTGGGTGGCGCCGCGCTTCGCTGGCAGTTCGGCGAGGCCAGCCTCATCGCCACACCGCATCATGCCCATATCGGAAGGAAGTCGACCGGCCACTCGGGCGGGACCCCAGGCCAACTTTGATGCAAGGAGCGGAGCGCGTGCAGCCGCCGTCGCCGCCCTGCACGCGCCGCCCCGCCGAGCCGCGGCGCGCATTTGCTCACCCAGCGGCTTGAGCCGCAGCACGAGCAGCGCAACCATCAGCAGCGTGGTCACGTTGCGCGCCACCGCCAGGCCGCCGAGCAGCTGCCGCGTGTGCCGTGCGCTCATGCACTCCATGCGGAGCAGCTGCTGGCGCGGGCCCACGGGGCCGAGGGCGCTGACGCCGATGTGCGGCGGCGCGGCATGCCGCTCGCCCGATTCGAGGTCATCCTCGGACCGCACAGACTCGCTCCTCACGGTCTCCATTGCGCGCTGAATTTTGATGTGAATTTCCTGACTCAATCGCGACCAAATGCAGGAAAAGGACTAATGTCGAGCACTGAGATCATCTCGAGAGTGTGACATCGCCCTTATTTTGACCTGAATTGCCAGTTTTTCAACATGCAAGTCTCTGGAAGAAAGCATACCGATAATGGTGCTTGATTGACCGGCGCATTCGGGCCACAGCAGCAGTTCCCAACTGCCCGCCCAGTGGGACGCTGGCTGATCAGGCTGATGAGTGACGCTGCGCGTCACCGATTGGACGTGCCCGACGCAGCCACACTGCACGCTGCCAAACTGGAACTGCACAAGGGGCTACATTACATGGCTACAAATTGTTGCGCGACCGCCCCTCGGCGGCCCGCGTCGGGCATAACCCCCAACCCAAGCATCCCGGGGAGGCGATGAGCACACCTCAGACGTGGCAGAGGGTGACCAAGGGTGATGGGATGTGGCTGCGACCCTGCAAGACCTGAGGCAGACGGCGGCTCTCTGGAAGCGTCTAGCAGCAACTGTACAACGGCGCTTCCCAGCGCCCACCCGGCGGACGCAACGGACGCAGCTTCGAAAGCCCCAAAGTTTTGAAAACAGCTGCACGAACAAGCAAATTCGCTCCCTCGCCGGCGCGGAAACAGCGCTCTCTGCAGGCCCCTCTTTGAATGGCGACCGGAAACACGCGCCCCGCGCATGTGTGTGATGTGCTCTCCTGCCAGTAAACACCCGGGCCCCTCCGCACACCTGGCTAGCCCAGCCACCAGCCGCGCCCACCTAGCCGCCCGCCCGCTGTGCCCCGACAGCTGCGAAAAGCGTCAGTTGCCGCGCGGAGCCCGCCACTTCGCCCAGCGTGGCCGCCGGCTGCAGCAGCAGCTCGGGGCGCACGGCCCCAGAGAACAGCCCCGCGGCCAAATTTAGCTTGCCGCCGCCGCTCGCATCACCGCTTAAGAAGCAGCGCACCCACGCCAGCGCGTCCGCGACGGTTTGCTCTGGCAGGAAGCGGCGCGCGTGTGGCGGGCCGCCGGGCATGCGGACACGCAGGGTTATTGCGTCGGCGGCGTCTTGGGACGGCTCGGGCTGCGGGCGGCGTGCGGGATTGGTGATGGATTGCAAAGCACGCGTCAGGTTGGTGTGTCCTGTCACGTGTGCGTGTATGTGCACATGCATGTCACGTGTGCGTGTATGTGCACATGCATGTATGTGCACATACATGTATTAAGACTCGCGCCCGTGCATGTGTGTGCGCGCGTTTGAGCGTGTGTGTGTGTGCGCGCGCGCGTGTGTGTGTGTGTATGTGGGTGTGTGTGTGTGTGTGGGTGTGTGTGTGCGTGCGTGCAGGTGTCGGTGTCACTGGGGTGTTCAGTTCAGCAAGTATGCTCAGCAGCAGCTTTACAGCAGAGCTGCTGCCCAGAGAGCCTCCAGGATCCTGCCTTGGCTACCGCCGTCCATCCACCCAGCTCCCAAAACCACCCACAAGAAGGCACAGCAGTGCAGCTGGCCCCCGCTGGCAACCCCCTCTGCTGGCCCCGGCTGGGGCCGTCCAGGGGGGGCCCGCACCCGACGGGATCCCACCCACCGGCAGCAAGCTGAGTAGCCGGGACTCTTCAGCCTGTGCGTCTTGAGCCCTCCCCTCGGCCCCGCCGTCTGCATGGGATGCGGTCCGCCCGCGGCCGCCGCCGCTGCCGACGGACCTGGGGTCCCCCTGCCCCCGCAGCAGGTGCGAGGGATCCGAAGAGGGCGCGCCCGCCGCGCCGCCGAGCAAGCGGCCGCGCGGCGCAGGGCGCTCTGAAGGGGGCCCAGCGGTGGCGCCGGGGCCCGGGCGTGCAGCTTCGCTGGGGGCGCTGCTGCTCCCTAAGCCGGGGTTGGCTGGAGGGCTAGCGACGCCGCCGCCGCCGCCGCCGCCGCCGGCTGCCCTTAGCGCCTGCTTGCGCCGGTCCTCTTCCAGTGCCTGCGGCCGTTCGACGCGCAAAGGATCGACGCGTGAAGAATCCGACCAAGTCATTGATGACGGCAAAAAGTCAACGATGACGGCAAAACGCCAAGGCTGACAGCAAGAGTCACATCCGACGTTCACAATGCCATTGACGCCCTCCGCGGTGAGAAGATCGCTCCCACAGGCAGCAACAGAATCCGCACCATTCACTCCGAGCAGGTCAAACGGCGCGTATTCATCACCTAGATCAGATCGCACATGCACCAGATCGCGGGATGCATCACGTCATGCCGTGCGACCCACCGCCCTGTAGTCCTCGTCCTGCTGCTCCCGCAGGGCGCGCGCCTCTCGCAGCGCCGCCAGCCGCTCCTCCTGCTGCTGCCGCTCGCGTGCCTGACAGATTAGCATGAGGATTTGGGCTTGTTTCAGCGGCCTTGGAGGGTTGATGGTGCGAGCTGGCACACCCACGAAGTGAATGGATGCGCAGGCGAAGCGGCGCGCGCAGCAGGGGATCTTGGGAAATGATCCGGCTGTCTGTCGGAAGTCCAGCTGTCGCGGCGCGTTTTCAAACGCATGGCAAGCCAGGCTGGGGTTGCAGCCTGTCCCGGGTGTCATGGAGTGGCCTCCATGGCATCGGCACAGCGCATGAGGTCAAGTTAAAGTCGTCATGCTGTACATCGTGCAGGGCGAAAACCTCGGCTTCGGATCACCTTGATGTTCTCCTCTAGCGACGCCTCGTAGGCCGACTGCCGCGCCTCGTAATCGGCCGCCGACTCGTGCATCTGCTGGAAGCGGGACAGCCGCTGCGGGGGCGGGGGCCGGCGGCAGGGCAGACAAGTCGCCAGGCGGGTGAGGCGGGTGTGGCGGGCCCTGGTGAAGTTCCTTGTGAGCGTGCGGTGCAGTAGGAGATCAAGTGATGCACGTGCATCAGATCATGCCAGGGCGGCTGAGGCGCGCCCCGCACCTGCGCAGCCTGCGCCGCC